TTTATTTTGGAGCAATTTTCAGTTCATAAGAATAAAAATGCAGGTTTTTTCGTAGGTGATTCGTATAGTGATTCTTTTCACAAACCCAATATGTCATTTCTGGACCAATTCTATTCTTGAATTGTTCTCTGAAAGAAGAATTAAAATTGAAAATCAAAATGAATCGCTGTAGATAACAATTATATTAAGCAAATAAAGTTGTACGATTAAAATAAATCTAAAGATTTCAAAACAAGTTATTTCACAACGTTTCGATTGTTGGTATTCACAATGATGAAATTGAAAATGAATCGCTGAAGAACAAACAAAATGAATTGAAATTAAACTTATATTAAGCAAAAAAGTTGTACAGTATAAATGAATTGGAAGATTGCAAGGCAAGTTATTTCACAACGTTTCGATTGTTGGTATTCACAATGGAGACATTGACAATCAAAATGAATCTCTGAAGATAACAATTATGTTAAGCAAAAAAGCCTGAGAGGGAATTACAATAATATAGAAAATTAAGCAAAAAATTCAAAGTTGAACGATTAAAATGAAATAAAAGTTGAAAGATTTCAAGCCAAGTCACTTCGCAACGTTTCGATTATTAGTATCCAAAATTGTCTTCAAGTCTAGCCACGCTACTTCACGACGTTTCAATTGTTAGTATTCACAATGATGACTGACGATTGTGGATGCTAACAATCAAAACGTCGTGAAGTGGCCTGGCTTGAAGTCTCTTGATTTTTATTTGGTTTTCATGGTTCAACTTTCAATTTTTTGCATAATCTTTATTTTGTTGTAACTTCATTTTGAGTTCTTCTTTTTTAGTTTGTTACAGTGTTGAAAATTAGAAATGTTCAGCTAAGCCCACCTTCATCATAAAAAAAGAAAGGATGAAAAATATAACAGTAATCTGTAGGGTGTGTAATTTGGAAATTACGATCTTTTTTGCTGCATACTTGTTAGTTTCATTTATTTTTCAGTACCTATATTCATTTAATTCACTTACAGACTCAAACAACAGGATATCCTCCCTTATATGATGCGCGATATGGGTCAAAGCTCCTTTACACCGCCCAGTTCAGATTCGATGACATCACCGAAAGTCCGCGAAACTGAGAAAGAGAACTCATCCCCACTAGTACAAATGACAAAGGATGATTTGAGGAAGCCTCAAATAATCTTAGAGAAGGACATATGCATGTCAACGATGTTGTCTCCAAAGCCAAGCGAATGCCGAGTAAAATACGTTCAAGAAGGAAAAATATGACCAAGAATTGGGGATCCCCAAGAAACACTCTAGCGGCAAAACGAAAACCTACAAATGCAAGCGTTGCCCTTTTTTTACTACAACCAAAATTGATTTTTGGAAACACTCCAGAATACATATAAAAGACGACAAGGTCCCTACATGTCCAAAATGTCCTTACAAATAACTTATTTCTTAATGTAAATAAATGCAATTTTATTACATTCTCAAGAGTGGCTAGGAAACTCGATACATCATACAATATAGTTAGCACTTAGCACTTCCTCCATAAAAGATTTGGGGGTAATTTTTGACGAACAACTCAAATTTGTAAACCATAATAACCAAGTGAGTGTGAAATCATCCAAAACACTGAGTCTTATTTTACGTCATTGTTCAGGATTTTCCATTGAAGCATTAAAAAGGATCTATTTAGCTCTAGTGGTGTCTAAGTTAGAATATGCATGTATCATTTGGTCTTATATATACATACTCATTTTAACCTTAGCTGTGTGTACGTATTAATAATTAGTTATTTTTTTTCTCTCTTTCTCTCAGACTAGCTTACATCTAAATTCCTATTATGGATTCCTATATTCGTGATTTCAGAATTGATAATGTTGAAACATATAGCATAGACACCACTGAAGAATGTAGTCAGATACTTGATATAAACAAGAGCCATCAAAACTTCAAAATTCTGCAAATGAATATTCATAGTATTAATAAAAACCTAGATGAATTTTCCATTATGTTACAAAATTTAAAATCTGATATTGATGTCATTATCCTAACAGAAACTAGAGAGGTGATTGATCAGAGTATTTTTCATATAAATGGATATAACATGATATATAACGAAAGTCGATATAACCAGAATGATGGGGTAGTTGCCTGTATAAAGTCAAATCTTAAATTCACCTATGAAATAGTAGAGGTTTCTTATGAGTTGAAAGCAGTTCGAATCGAACTTGACTTAGGCATGGAAAAGTCACTTCTTATTACAACTATGTACAGGCCACCAAATTCGAATTTACTGGAATTCAATACAAATCTATTTATCTTTTTCGAGAACCACCCTGATAATATGGACTTATCCTTATTTTTGGACGACATCAATATCGATTTGCTGAATGCCGATAAAAAGCATACGGTTGATTATCTGAACACGTTGAATGAATTTGGATATATATCCACTATTGTGGATATATATCCGCACCTACCAGAATACAAGAAAACAGTAAATCATGTTTGGACCATATTTTCATAAAATCGAAAAATCCTGATCAAACTGAAAATATTCTACCCATCGTATTGAGAATAACAATAATAGATAATTTCTCTAGTTTACTTCAGATGAAACCAAACGTTAACAAAAAAAGATTTGTAAAATACATCAACACCAACAAAATACACAACGCCTTCAGCAATATTTCCTGGGAGGATGTATACAATGCACCTACACCAGACACTGCTACAAAAACTGTCATCAAAATAACTATAAAAACACTAGAAACATGCACAGATAAAAGCCATATCCGGAGAAAAAAAACCAAAATAGCACCCTGGTTAACGAATGGATTATTACGCTCTATCAACAAAAAACACATCATATTTAGCAACATGCAAAAGCATGATCATGATGAGGATCTGAAGAAAGAATACAAAAACTACAGAAACAAGCTAACATCTTTGATCAAAAAAGCTAAATTCAATTATTATAAAAAACAAATTGACAAAAATCATAATAATTCAAAAATGCTATGGAAGTCACTCAACGAATATCTAAGACAAAAAGACACAAAATTGTTATAGATAATATAAAACATCCCACAAACAATGAAATCTTAACCGATAAAACGCTAATTGCAAATACATTCAATGCAGCATTTGTAGAAACGGATAGAGTACGATGCTACATCGTCCTCCTGGATATTTCGAAAGCCTTCGACCGAGTCTGGCACGAAGGCCTGATACACATAATGCTCGATTTCGATCTGCCTCGGGGTCTGGTCCGGTGGATTAGGTCCTTTCTGAAAGGCAGAACATTTCAGGTCCGAGTTGAAGGAACCCTGTCTCCCGTCAGGGAAATTGAAGCTGGAGTGCCTCAGGGAGCTGTGCTGTCTCCACTAGTGTACATCATTTACGTGAGCGACCTCCCGAGGTTCAATCACGTGAAGGTTTCCCTTTACGCTGATTATACGGATCTCCTCGCTTCTTCCATGGGTCGGGCGTTGGGGTCTTTGGGTAGACCGCCGACACACCTGGGCAAATCACATTGATTAGGTATATCAAGAGCAAAGTACAGATGAGGATAGCTGAACTCTATATCGTCTGGTCAATAGAAATTCAAAACCCAATCTTAAAAATAATATTTTACTATACAACACGATGTTCAAGCCTGTCATCATGTATGCTTCAGGTGCTTGGGGACAAACCGCCCCGTCAAACCTCTCCATTTTGGAAAGGTTGCAAAACAAACTTCTCAGGATGCTAGTGAATGCTCCATGGTTCGTGCGGAATGAAGCCATCCGCAGAGATTTGAAACTGTTAACTATACGGCAGTTCATTCAGTCGAGGAATCAGAGAATTTTCGAGTCAGCGGAAACTCATGATAACCCATAACTATAGATTACACTATAGACGACCCCACTCGATTCAGAAGGCCTCGTCGCTCGGTTGAGTGAAGGCCCCACGACGTCTGTTAAAATGAACAGTTTGTTCATCAAATACCCCAGTCAGGAAGGGGTACACAAGGCCAGAGCGGCATATTTTGACCTTTATGTCGCCACCAAAACACCTTACGTTATGAACCATTCGTCCTCCTGATGAATCTCAGTTGAAGGGGTAAGGGAAAAAAATGTTCAACCTGATGAAAATGAAGATGACTATGATACGATGGTATATCATTCGACAGCTGCTTTCCAGAATAGTTTTACCTATTGGACATTTTAACTCTATCCCCATGAAAAGTTTATGAAAGAGTTCTTATCCACATAGTGATAATGGTAGTTGGTGAATATTGGTCGAACACATAACTATATATTAGGTTGTTTCAAAAATTTTGTCTGTTTTTATGAGTGTACCTTGAACTGTAAACTTATTCAATGTATTCGAATTAAGTGTCATTTGAATCAGAGCACTTTTGCCAACGTTACACCTACGATTAATTTAGTCAGCACAAATATTGGGTGCTCGGGATTCGATAGCCCTTGAGAAGATGATAGTCTGTTGGCGAGAGGTTTGGGGAGAATAGTGGGTGAGGCAGATCATTAACGCTCAATTCGGACGATGATATATGAAATAACGTGCAGACGAGCTTTGTCAAAGACCGTATGGGAGCTGACGCCCACTTCTCTCGCCATCCCTCGCATCGTTTGTGATAAGTCAGTCTCCACCAGAGCCCTCAAATCCTCGTCCTAGATTACTGTCTAGGTCGACCACTTCGGGGCTCACATCGAGGCTAAAATCTCTAAAAAAAAATTCGCAAACCAACTTCGAGCAGTGCGTTCATTAACACTATCATTGGCAAATGCCTGGTTGATTTTTGGGGCTACTTCAGCAGCGCTTTGATTCGGTTTGAATTACTAGAGAAAAATTGGACGAAAATCGCTCAACGATATTATATAATAATAAGCTGAAAAAAGGCAAAAAGTTGAAATTTGTAAAAAAATCAACAGCATCAATGTATAGAGTACATAAGTCTTTATCATTATTCGGACAATACAATAGATAGTCTTTAATGTGGATAACTAACATACAAAAACACATTTAAACGGGCCAAACTTTTGAAACAACCTAATGGCATTATTGTTTTTTTTTCATTTAGAAATATCGTTGCAAAGATCTAAATTATTGAAATACTACTGCACTTTATAAAACCATCGAATGTTAAAAATGTCATATAAGTACGAGAGGGGGTAGATGTAAGAATAGCTGAAGGTTAAATGTCGTGCCATATGGTGCTCAAGCAAGAATGGGGTAATTTAATACTAACATATATGTATATGTATGAATTTTGTAAAATCTTGTTATCTCCATATTATATCTCCATGCTATCTCCATTATATTATCATTAATATTATTCTTATTTTTTACAGGAGGTTGTCCTCATTAGTATTTGCTTCCTTAACAGGGTTGTTTCTTGTTTCTTATAAAACGACACATGTACAATACAAAGCATCAAAACAGCCAACCCCGCCTCTGCTGTTCATGTGTTTTGGGAGAGGTTAAGTTTCGATTTTCATTTTTGAAATTTTTATTTTCTTAGTACGTCCTTGACACAGTGTTACTAACATTTTGGCAACAATAATATCCAAGTTAGAAAATGTTAAAGATCATGACAACGATCTTCTAAATATCTAAAATATGTACGAAAATCGAAGCTTCAAGTAAAAAACTTAGATCAAAATTCCATCTTTCAATCGATGTTAATTCAAATTTCCCTCCTAACCTCAATTATATCGGCACAAGTGAAATTAAATGACTTCTGATACATAATTATTGAAATTTACGTTTAAGTAACGCTGACGTGACTTGTGAACTCGATAATTATGAATTATACCACAAGGTGACGAATGCGTTTTGAAAATATGATGGTGAATTTATAACATTAGTGTATATAGTGCTCGCGGCTTTGAACTTGAGTATCCTGAGAATCAAGGAACTTCAAAATGGTTAAAAATGCAGAGAAAAATGCATCTTCGAAATTGTCTGAAATATATTTGATAGCTTACAATGGTATACAAAGTCTAGGGTGAGTAGTAACTAGACACTGATAAGTGAAATTTGGAACCTCTGATGAGAAATAAATCTATTGAAAACACTTTTGTCTCACCAGAGCAAAATTACTGTTACTCGATACGCGTTTCGCTAACCAAGTTCACTTCATCAGGAGATGACTAAGGTCATCTTGGTTAGCGAAACGCGCGTTAAGAGATAGCAATTTTAATCTGCTGAGGAAAATGTGTTTTGTAAAAAGAAAAACTGACAGGTTAATTAGTGAGAAAACAACAGTTGGCAGGAACAAAATAATAATAATATTAATATCACAGAAAGAGATAATGTAGAGAGATATGTTTATTCATCACTAAAGTTCACAATTTATGGAGGCACCAAAAAATGTAGAATCTATTTCAGTAAGATAATAAAAAATGTGACTTAAAAGCTGAAAGAATTTCAGCTTTTACAAATCACATAGTTAATCATTCCTTTGAAACAGCAACATTACAAATTATCTAAAACCACCCAAGTTCACAATAAATGAGATAAAACTTGTGAAAAAGTACAGGCCAGAATCTGGACTATCTTGTTTACCAAGCTTTCAGAGTATCACATGCTTGATGGACTTATTCCTTTCACCAAAAGATATCAATATGTGAACAACAAGTTTTTCAAAAGGACTGATTCACCACAATTGCTCTTGTATTTTTCATGATGATACACTGTTAGAAATAGACAACAGACAATATCTGTGATTTTAGAAATTATTAAATACTAAAACATATAGTTGGCCTCTAACAATATATTATTATTTCTAGGTGGACCTATCTTCTGTACCAAGTCGTAACATACTATCTCACCTCACCCAATAAGTCATTATATGAAACAATAAAATGCACAGTGCATATATTCCAAAATGCAGCAGTATTAGAAGTGATACATGCTATCACCAGATTGGTACGTTCTGATCCTATAATTACCACATTTCAAGTAGCTTCTCGGGTGATGGTGGTATGTGGAGTACTAATGGCAACTTCTGCAGCTCGTGAAAGTATGGGTTTAGGATTGTGTCTTTTAGCTTGGTCTGTTACTGAAATAATTAGGTATTCCACATATACTTTAACATTGGTTGGAGCTGTTCCATATTTTTTGAAGTGGCTTAGGTGAGTTTTAATCTAAGAAATACGATTAATGTATTTACACATTAAAATTAGTAACAAAATACAGTAAGGTGTAAAGTCTCCTCTATCAGAAATCATCGACTTATGACCCCACAAACCAAAAAAATTTACAAACAATAGGATTCGAATTTGCTTATCATTGTTATTTTTAATAATTGTGGTGTTTTTTTTCCTTGTGAAGTTTTAAATAACATGAAAATTTCTAAAATGTTTGTATCTCAATCGTTGCAAAACGCCGTTCTTTCATTTTGGGAACAGGTAAAGTCGCAGAGGGTCAAATCTGATGAATATAGTGGCTGAGGCATGATTAAGGTGTTGTTTTTGGCAAAAAAAACACGAACAAGCATGACAAGTGAGCAGGTGCATTATTATCATGCAAAAGACATAACATATTTTTCCACAATACTGGACGTTTTCTTTGTATTGCTTCTCGCAAGCGGTGCATAACTTCAAGATAATACTCCTTATTGACATTATGACCATGTGGCAAGAACTCATGTTGCACTACGCCACGGTAGTCGAGGGAAACAGTGAGCAGAACTTTGTCATTTGATCGAACTTGGTGTGTGTTTTTTGTCTTGGCTGTCCTGGGTTCTTCCATTGAGACAATTGGACTTTGGTTTTGATGTCATAATCATTCGTTACCAGTTTCATTATAGGAGTTTCAAGTCATTTAGAAGTCAAATATAACTACCAAATCTTTTTTCTCAATAGTATTTTTACCTCTGACTGTGTGGGTAAGGTTAAGAACATTAAAAAAAGTTGTCATACCACTTGTTATCGTAATTCTTCAATTTTATTATTGCTATTTTAAATATCCAGAAGTGATCAGCATTCATAATTAGTGACCTAAATAAAATAACAATAATCATTAACGCCAAGTCAGTGTAATAATTGGTATTGAAGTACCAAAAAATAGGATTTTGGAAATTTTCAAGTCTTAATCAAATCAAGACTCATAAAATTTGTTCATTCATAGTGTGTACCAAATTCAGTGCCAATGAAAACACCGACACTCAAGTAGAACGGTCTGTTGGGAGATGGATATGATTAATTCCATTCAAAATGACCAGTGCTAATACAATGTTGTTTGAGAAGACAGTGAATTGAAAATTTTTAGAAATGATTAACTTGATATAACCCAAAGTTGTTTCCATGAATTGCTACATTTTCAGAGCTGAACTACATCAGGTCCAGTTTTTTCACTGAAGGTCATGATGTGCGTTTTTATACCATACTCGTAACAATTTTAATGATTCAGTTGTTGAAGATAACTTTTAGTTGAAGTTGTGTATTTTAACTTCATCATCAGAATCCTCATTAAAATTTCAATACAGTAAATAACTATATACTATTTTTCTCAATTCCAATTTCCCTTCGGAAGATATAGTTTTTTGAGTTTGATACAAATCAATTGAATTAATGATTCAATGAGAGATTGAACTTTGTTTGATATCAATTTTTGCAATGACTTCTCTTTTAATACATTCAATAAGAAAGAACTACCTTGTCTGTACGTTTTTCTTTCTCAGTCACAACCTTGACATGAATCATAAATATAATAAATATGAATTTCCAGGTATACAACATTCATTGGCTTATATCCACTTGGAATTACTGGTGAATTATTGTGTCTGTATGCGGCACAGAAAGAAGTTGGTGCAGGAAATCTCTACTCAATTTTGATGCCAAATAAGTACAACTTTATATTTAACTATCAGCATTTTCTAGTATTCATCATGCTTCTCTACATTCCACGTAAGTTATTAGATTCTGCAAATATTTTCTAAGAAAAATTTCTGCAGTGAGTAAGTAAATGTACCTGTTCAAAGAATATAAAGTTTCATAGATAATTGTGTTGAAGCTATTTTTTGGTGTCTGCAGATTTTTATGCCTGAAGATATGTTGTTTCGTCTACAACTGTGATAGACATCAAAGGTGAGGCAAGGGTTGCAATACTTTTAGTTTTATTTACATAGGATACAACATCGTTTAGATCTTCATTGGTGGCCGTAGGTTTCGTTCTTATTGATAGGATGAATTGATCTGATTCGTGTATTATTGAGTGCAGGTAGCCAGACTTGATTTATGTTAAATTTTTTTCTTCAGAGGGGACAGACAATTTCAACACATTTAATTTTCTTTCAGTTCTTGAAACGTTCAAAGCTTATATATGCTTTTCTTGAAATAATTCTCTACTAAAACTGAAGGTTTATTGCGGCTCACATCGGGTAGTGATCTTTTACCTGGCAAGAGTGGACTGCCAAATGTTGAAAGCCTGATCCGTTCCGCAGCTAGGCAGGCACAGATTCGAGTATCTACCAGGACCTGAAGTCCCTTGTGAAGAATAATCCACTTCAACATTAACTGACCAGGGTACATTTTTATCAATCTAGTGTGGATCCACTTGGGAGTCTTGCAACTACCTTTGTCATGATTAGTGTGAAGTTATCCACAACTTTTCATCCACAGTTTATGACGAAGGACAATTGAACACGGTTTAGAATGAGATTTGCGAACAGTGTTGCCAGATTGCAAATATTAAGAATTTTACCCGTATTTCAACGATAAACAATAACGATAAAAATAAAATAAAAACAACAATAAAAATTTTGAGTAATTCAGTTCCGAATATACGGAACTTTTTTTTTTCGCACAGAAGGAACATATGGTACACAAATCTGTTTTAGCACGTCGATAGATATACTTTCGAAGAATATATTCTGAAATTTTCGTCAACAAACTATTTTTGATACGTGAGAAATTCGATATTTTGTGGATGAGTCTTTCCTGGCCATTTGGTATTGTTCAACGCAGGATATTTCAAATAACATACTTTTTACAAGTCATAAAATTTTTACCGAGAAACTAATTTTTCAGTACCCATACGCTACCTGTTTCGGTACAAATAAATTTTTCCTGAATAATATACTTTTATTTTACATTTTTTTCGGTATTAATCCTTGTATACGGACAGTTGGCTGATATAATGAGTTTATATAGAATGCTGACTCATTTATTCGACATGTTTCAATAATATATCGTGTTTTAAAAATGATAACATCGAAATACAGGTAAAATTCTTAATATTTGCAATCTGGCAACACTGTTGGCAAATCTCATTCTAAACCCTGTTCGATTGTCCTTTGTCATAAACTGTGGATGAAAAGTTGTGGGTAACTTCACACTAATTTTGTCATGTAGGTAAGCAACACAAGTGTTGCTTGGGAAGTAGGTCTCCTGTGACACATTTCAGGAAGATGCTCTTCCTGATCCTCTCGGATAACCTGTAGCCATTCAGGCTGGATTGTGCAACAACTTTCCCATATGAGGATATGGATTTTTTGGTTACTTGTTAGTTAATTAAGGGTCAATCATGGCACAGCCCTGCACCACCCTAAAAAGACTCTATATGACTAGGTTTCCGGTATCTCGAAGGTTCTCAGGGCTGAGAGTCGTATATCCTTTTTGCACGGGTGACACGTCATCCAGCAAGGGTATATTCTGTTGCTCTCGTCGGCTGCAGGGCCAAAGTAAGAATGATATTTACATACTTATTTGATGAGGTGGTAATACAAAAAAAATTGTGCACATCATTCTCTGAGATTTTATTAATTATGATAACAAATTGGAGGCCAAACTGCAGTCTTTATTGATACTTTATGTAAATATAAAACACTGTACAATTATATTATCTTTTGTATATATCATGAGTACCTTATTTCTTTCAACTTTTTTTAGTGTTTCCAAAACTGTATCTCCACATGTTTGCTCAACGGAAGAAAGTTTTAGCAAGTCCTAGAAAAGAAAAGTGATGCATCATAAAAATTCTAGAAAGTTATGGAAGAAGAGCATGGAAGTGTGCATACACCATTTTTTTACTATTATCTTGTTATTGATATGATTTGTTAATTTTTCAATTACACTTATGAAATCATTGTCATTTTAATTACCAAATTTAAATTAATTCTTCAATGTTCTCTGGATTTTCCTAGAATATCTGCTCTTCGATTCTAGCAAGGCTTTTTCCAATTCGTTGGCAATATGCATTAAATTATTTGGATCTGATTGTAACAAAATTTTTTCCTTTTTGCTTCCACTTTTATCGTCTCTCTCAGTTTTCAGTTCAAGTTCCATAGCTACTATAGGTATTGCTTGTTGTAAAAGGGCTCTCGATGAAACCTGCAGTAGCAAGGAAGTAATTAGTGAAATGGGACGAGAAGAGGCATACGGTTCATTTTCCATTTTTATGTGAAAGTTTTAAGAATCCTCCAAAACAGCCTTAGGAATGGAGTAAACAGTTGTGCTGATGGAATTTTTTTTATTTTACTATTACAAGAGCAAGAAAAGTCTTCATTACCTTGTATATATGTGAAATGGTAGTTAAGCAAAAATGAAAGGGGATGTGGCAAGGGTACCAAAATAAATCATGGTTTTAGAGATTTATTTCATAAGTTTTCTGTTGAAATGTACTTCAAGGCAAGGCATAAAAACATGACCAGATATTTTTCTAGTTGAAGATTATTCTGCTAGGTGACTCGGAGGGTTATTAGCGGTGCCTTCACAGAACAGGAAGCTAATGTTTACAGCAACTGATGCCGTTGACACCGAAAAAGAAAGAGTATTTCACTTGACAGAAAAGGGTGTATTTGTTGTTTCATGGTTGATTACATTCTAATAAAAAAAAGTTTCAAGTCTAGCGCCAATTTTCATTTATAGAGTACAAGGTAACTTGCTGCTTTGTGATCACTTAGACCCCTTCCCCATGTAAATTTTTTTGCCAAAAACTCTCGACCTATGGCAATTAAGAAGTAAAAAAGATATCCAACTTCATTCACAGGTTTCTATACATCATTGGTATTTGTAACAATTGACAGCTCACCAATAAGTTCAAAAGCAAGTGTAGCAAAAAAAATTCACATTTTTCAGGTGAAATATGATCTATTGACCTTTCATCTTTGAAGAGGTCAGTGGACATGTAAGTTAAAAAAAAATGAAATTCTGTTAGCACAGGCATCTAAAATTTCATTAAAATTGGAGAATCAACCAATTCCGTATTTTGCATGAAATAGTACCTGTGCCTCAAATCGCCATTTAAGATTTTCATAATGTGGTTCGCATACTGGTACACTCAGCAGTTCTTGAATTTCTTCCTGTTTGGATTCGTACAGTTGACTCAAAATAGATTGCTGTTCATGGGAAAATCCTAAGGTTAAAATCGAGTCACGGAAGTCTGCCTCACTCAGCTGAAAATTATCTGATTACTCAAGATTTATGAACAAAAATCTGAACTCACCTTATGCTTGCAGCTAAGTTGCAAGAGATTGACTAATCCATAGATACAATTCCTTATTGTTTCAATTTCAACTTCTAACTTCTGGGCAGCTACGGTGTACCTTTTGTTGTTTGGTCCATTGTGAATGAAGTCGATGGCAAGTTTGCAAAAATCTACTAGTACTAAAAATCTTTGTATATACAATATATTCGCCTGAAAAATGAATTAAATACCTTGAAGAGGTTGAAGAGTTAATATCTTCAAATGATCTTTGTGATCGTTTCTCAATGAAATTAACATTTTGGAATCTTACTTTGAGGTTATCTTCATTTATTATGACGTTTGAAAGTTCACTCGTCGAACGGATAGCCCAGTTCTGATTCTTATAGAAACCTCACGTGCATGTGACGTCACCAGTCAATACATTCGTTTTTTTATTCTTGAATACGTCTTTTAGTCACTACATTCAATTTCATTTAAATCAACTGAGTCTTGAGAATGTTTATTTATTTATTTGTAGAAGTCTTGTTAATATTATCAATCTTGCATGTTTTGGATTATCAAAGTTATTCTTAGCCTTTCTGTGCTATGAGTAATTCTCATTATTATTCTACTGACGCTAGTTGAAAACTAATAAAACAACAATAACTTGAGATTTTTTGACAAAAACAAAGTATTCGGGTGGACCTGTGCTAGAGGCAAGTTATAAGTCTTAAGTGAAATCAACATATCATATCTTGAATAAAATCAACATATATCGGGATCCACGTAATTCGTCTATATAGTGTATTATTTGAGTAAAACGTTCCGTACAAGAGATGAAAAATACGAAAAATTTAGAAATATAATTTCTGTGCGAATATTTCTGATAATAAAGCTTTTTTATTCTAAAAATCCGACAGCTGGAGCAACTTTGAGATCGCATCCGAACGTTTACTTTGAGAGAATAAAATTACACCTGTTTTCTTTCCGGTTCGTTGGAAAATGATAAATCTAATGGTTGGGATGGAAATCCGATACCAAGACGATATACCGTCAACAATGACGAAATTTGATCACTTCAGAATCGAAACCCCTTTCATCTTTCATTTGTGATAAAACGAAAGTATTATTGGTCCCTATCACGAATTACAACTGACCAAATAACCTTCTAGGATACGAAGATTGTTACTAAAAGTTCACTGCGATCCCTGAACTTGAAATAAAAAACAAATACGCCATCGTTTCCTATCTAACAGCCTCAATTCGCAAGACCCGTCACCAACTTCCGAAGTTGAAAGATGCATTTTTAGCATCAGTGCTCATGTGCAAAAATAGGTCTATACAACGGAGATTTTGGTTGCAGGCAATATAACAAAGGTACAAAAACAGCTCGTCATATTTTATGGACAATCCAAATTATGTCCAGAAGAATATGACACATATATCCAGCAAGGGACTTGTATAAACCGGTATAGGCAACAAGATTGTTGAAATGAGTCTCATGAAAAAGATTGAAGAAAAACGGAATGCGCCAATGAGGCTCATTGCGTTTTTCTCCAATTCCCAACAATTAGACAAGTCAGTAAAAAAACGCCATCATGTTGCAACAAAAAAATTAATCTTTATGTGAACATTAAAGTGCCGCCTGTAGAGTGATTTTGCTTGCGTTTACTTTCTGTAGGGTGTTATCGACAGATTTGTACGGAAATTATACGAGTACCTATGAGTCGCTACACCGGTGTACGGACATCTTAGTTTTGTAATTTGCCTTCTGGCAAGAAGACTGCATAACCTTCCCCATTTTTTCTAATGTTAATAATTACAAACTGAAAATATTTTTGAAATGCAACACATAGACCAGGGCAGAAGCCTTCAAAAATGGTAAAAAGTGAAAAAAATAGTAGTAGGATAATAATAATAACTTTACTGTCCAAATGTTACCCATTTACAGGACAATATAAAATTATATTCACCAAAAAACGAAAAATAAAATTAACAAAAAGAAAAACTATTTCTAATTACCCACTTCAAGTATACGTTTGCAATTCCAATAATGCTATGAAGGTTAGTGGAAAATGGGATGAAACCCATTAGAAAAGGAGGGGAATATGATAAAACTTCGGGAAGTGGGAGAGTTTTGGTTCCACTTCTACATTGTTGTTGAATGCTTAGTTGAAAGAATAATTACGCTCAATGGAGTAGAGATCATTAGCTAAACAGACTTCAGTAACATCAAACTGGTTGACATTAGAAGGATACTGAAGTTGAAAACTATTGAATAAATGTGTGTAAGCTTTCACGGCCTGTGACTAGCAAATTTTCGTTAAACCCGGAAACATCCGACAATTTGTTGAACTTAATTAAATATTTTGTAATTTACCTTTCTGGTGTAAAACTGGGCATAATTCCACCTGTTATCCATGGCGACTTGAATTGCTATTGTCCCGAGGTAAACAGTTTTACAAAAACGCAAGTGTTTCGCTATACAATGGCTTCTTCGGGCGTATAATTGTATATATTCAATGCTTTATATAACTAATTTCACAATTTGAAGTACCTATATTTACATTTCAAGTATCTGAGTTATAACTGGTCATTTAATGTGTTAATGTGTTATGTGTACCTGACTCTGTATTGAATTAAATTATTTGAGCTTATGTACCAATTTCCACATTTGAAAATATATTTCGTATTTGGTCATTAAGTAAATTACCCAAATTGTTGATTTCTAAACATTTTAGAAGACGGAGTTTCAAACTTTTCCCTTCTAAATGTAACATGTATTCATGATTCAACTCATGTCCTTCTGCTAAAAGGTGATTTGCAAATATGAAATTGGTCTTTCTCTTCACAAAACTACTTCTATGACTTCAATTCTGTGGAAAAATGTTTCTCCTGTTTGGCCAATAAAGAGTTTGGGGCAAGAATGAATGAATGAAAATCGTTTATTCAAATTTTGCTGGATAATAACATTTCATTTGTTGGGTACTGTGTGGGGCCCTGCTATAGGCTAATGCTTCTTCAGGGTAAACTGGGGCAAGAAACACAAGTCAGCTTATATAGGTACTCCTGATCTACCTGACACTGAAGTTTTGTCTTTGTTTTTAATAAATTTCCTGGGTACTGAGGTTGTTTTGTATGTTGCGAAGTGAAAGTTGTGCTCTTACATATGCCTTGGTTTTTTATGTTGACTGTCTTTTGGGTCGTTTATATATAGTGTTGTTTTAGAATTCCTCCAATTTTTTTGTTACTCCTCTGACGTAGGCAGGATAGCTTCAGTTTATTTCGTGTTGTTTTTTCATTGTTTTCCTTCTTTCTTTGGTGTATTGTTTTATGAATTGTATAATTTTCATATCCATTTTGCTAAAGAGCTTTTTGTATGTCTTTCATTTCTTCTTCCATCATAGCTTCATCTGTTAGGCATTCAGATCTGGATAAAGGGAGTCAGCTACCGCTTTTATTTGTGCTGGATGATGATGTGACACCTTTTGGTTTTCTTTCAACTAGTACATCCAGGAAAGGTAAGTCGTTTTCTAAATCAGCTACCAAGCAAAACACATGAACACGGCAAGTATGTTCTTCCCGAAACGTAGTGATTATTTCACGATATACTTCAGCAGATATATGTATAAATACGTATATATCTATATATACATACAGATAATCAATGAGGTAGCACACATAGGCAGTAATATATTACAGCAATAAACGGGTTGCACATCAAAACTTACCATTTGTCTTTTGCTATAAGAAATACCAGAAGAAAAAACTAAGTAGAGCAGAAAGTATACTTTTATTTGTAGAATATAATTTGTTCATCTTTTCGTTCAAAATAATTGACTATCTCTAATAAGGTCCAGGAAGATATCCTGGCAACAATTACAGGGCGTTCGCCTATCACAATGTCCAACAAAACGGGCTCTCCAAATAACATACTTTAAATTATGTATAAAATATTAACAGTAACTATTTTTTTTGGTAATGCGTAGCCTGAACACTCACTAAAGGAAGACAACACTAAACACATCCAAATAATAACAGTTTACATTTATTTTAAACAAGTCCAATAATAAAATATACTATATATTTGTATATATATATATATATTTATAAACAAGTCCTTCATATTTACAATTGCAGCTGGCCCTGCGCCTTCCATTTGCTCCGCACTACCCTATCGTAACAAGCAATTTTTTAATGCACTTTTTGAATGAAACACCTAACCTATCTAAATTACAGCCGGTGGGAAACCTATGACGACCTACAAACTTTTCTTTTTGATTTCTGACTGTCACCGTCACTCAGACAGGAGCTTCTGCAACAGAGACGACTTTTGATCAGTTAGCCGCCCCTCCTCCATAGTAGTCTGAAAAACATGAAACAATCAAAATCAAGGAATAGAAGCTCAGTAATGGGATTATTATAAAGTGCAATTTCTTTGAAAACAAAAGCGTTAAGTTAATTATCTCGAGGAGCTTTTGAACTCACATTTTTGTAAAAGGACTGAAATGTACATCAATGTGATTTGAGTTTGTTAATTTTCCGAACAAATGGAGAAGTTGAACAGCACAACAGACACAATTCGCAGTTGAAATTCAATAAACAAATCTAGTCATAAGCGAAAGGAAAAAACAAATTCTATGGCTAACACTCGGAATATAATTACAAGTTTGATAGAATATTCTCAACTGACATAATAAATGAAACAATAATATTTTTTTTTTCAATATGGAACAATGATATACATGTATTCGAACCAAAAAGAACAAAAGAATCATTGTTTTGATTGGTTTCCGGCTTTTGCCTTGGTCTCCTTTGGTTATAATATCCAAACGTTTCGTCTGCAATTGCGGCAGTCGCCTTCAGTGGCGTGGTCGAAGTACTCTTCTTGATGTGTCAAGTTGATACGTCAAGACAAGTTGATTCAAGAGGAAGGTTTATATGTATATAACATGCATAATATAGTAGAGAAACACTGATCATTTTAGAGGTTTCTAATGTGATGTCGTAAATAAACACATTTTTTTGCGCTTACATTGCAAACGCTGGCCCTACGAGATAGAGCAAAATAATGTACCTACTACAGTATTGTAAACCTTAAAAATGTCTACAAAAAATTACGGGATAGTATATGCCTATCCCTCACGGATAACCCACAATAACCATTTTTTATCATTTACTTTTTTACAAAGCGATTTTAAGCAATACAGCCGGGGCGGATCGCTAGTATTACATAAAATAATATAACAGCCAGTGAAAAACAATAGTTCTCAGGTTGGTTTCTAATTAAGAATTTTATGGAAATATTCTTCCACAAAGTATAGTTTCAGTTCAATTATGGTGGATTTTTTACTGCTAAAAAATGCGATCTTTGGTAGTAAATGGTTATGAAGTTTTCTACATAATTAAATTTCTTCGAGTGTCTGTTATTATATGTGTGAGTAATATTATGCAAGTCAAAGTAATGTCTGTTATTGAACAAAAAATGATGCAGGTATCGTAAGGAATTCCAATGAGTTGAAGTTACACTTGCCAATGTTCACATAGATTTTTTCAGAATGATGAAAATATTATTGGATAAAATAGTTCCCCCATACAACAATCCCATATCTATCTCTGAAATATAAGTTAGCTAAATATTTTTTTTTGTGAATAAATTATTTGCATTTCTGTTCTGAATTATCAACTTCTTGACATATTTGCCTTAGGTTAATTCACGTGATGGACAAATTTCCATGTTTTGATTATAACTCAGAAACATTTAATACTATCAGAGAAATTTATAGTTTGTTAGTTAAGTTTGAGTATTGAGAGGCTGGTTATCTTTTGAGAAGTTTTGTTAGCATTCAATGCAAGTTCTGAATTTTTAAATTATTTTTTTGCCTCTTCAAATAAAGAGATTTCCTTTTTGTATCAATTCTATAAAAGTCATTGCCATGAATAATGAAGTGATGTCATCAACACAGTTTATTATTTGAATTGAAGGGGTTATATTTTTAGGAGTGATTATTTTTTGGGAAAGAAAGTTTTTGGCTTACTACATGAGGCACCGACTTTAAATGTGTTTTCAGACCCCTCTAACGCTTCCAGTAAATTTTCCTATGTCTTGCAACCTCAAAAAATTCAAGAAAAACGCGTTTCATATCCATTTTGTCTCCCTTGTTCAATGTTGCACAGAATAGAAGAATCACTTCTATTCTGTTGATGTAAGAACAGAAACGGTTTCTGATCATTATCTGAAGCAAGTTCAGCTAGTTTTTCCAACAAAATATAGCTAATTTTATAATATAACTATTTATATGCATTATCATTATTAAAAGGTATGTTTTCTGTTTAAAATTTGTTTTTCCGTTAACCAGCTGTCGCACCCCTACGAACGACAACTCTCAGAAGTCGAAACTTGTGCGAGCTAAGGATTAACGAGGTCTTACCTTTTAACGTGTAATTCCTAACACGGTATGAATCAATTTTTAAGAAAAATGAGTTGTTGTTAACTTAACTTTATGTGAATTTGTCTCTCCTAATTTCCAGAAATATACAATAAAATGTTTGACTTGCCGTTCTTAGCTTCACAGATACCCGAGAAACACAATTTGATATTCACTTTTGTTGGTATTCTTATTTTAGTAAATTTACCGAACAATGTTATATATTTCTCAGGAACTTTGGATGAGTTTCAAATTTTTTGAAAAGACAAATGAATTCACAAGATGAAGTCAACACAGGCTTATGTTTCCTAAACAGACATTTATATTTTTTTCTATTTTGTGTATTTTTTGACCATTGCAAAATGTCATTCATTAAATACTGCGAAAAATGAAAATGGAGAGTCACAAAAGTTTAGGCTTTCATGAATTTCGGAAATCGAAGGATATCAATACTCAGATACTTGTTGCTTTATTTATTCGAATGATGCAGAATTTTTTTGAAAATCAGATGTAATATTCATTCTCTTCGAGTGCCTATCTGAGATATAAATGAATTATTTATCTTATGATCATCAAATTTCAGAAATATCTGGAATATCCAAGAAAATGAAATTTCTCAAAAAATTGATAAAAAAAACATTTCAAAATTGCTGGTTCTATCAACATATAATAGCTCAATGAAAATAGAATTTCGAAATTTTCGGTTTATTCTGTATATCCCGGAAATCGAAAGAGAAATTCTATTATACGTTATGATTTAAGAGTATTCTAAAATAGACAACTTTGCCATAATTCAACCGACTTTCTTTATCTTACTATTTTTGAGATTCCCTCGCGAAGACCCAAATTTGAATAAGCCTTCACAAAAATTTTAAGACATTCAAGAAAACATTATGGATTCTTTGTTAGTGAATGACAGTATGTTCAGTCATAACTACGACCCTGAATTGTGCTATGCAGCTATTTGACGTTCCCATTTCTTCAGACAAATGTCAAATATTTGATATATGATGGAATCGGCCGATACTTGATGAAAATCCATAACTAACGTATTCTAAAAACACTTTATTGTGTGATTTTCACTAGATAGTTTTACAAAAACGCAACACGTGTTTCGCCATACAATGGCTTCCTCGGGCGTGACTTAATAACTAATTCTACACATTAAATGCTATATATACCTTATTCTACAATTTGAGGTACCCGAATTTCAAGTACCTGATTTTTTACCTAAGTTTGTAATGAATTCAATTACCTGAGCTTTTGTTCCATTTTCCACATTTGAAAAAATATTCAGTAACGGAGAGTTATTTAATTCTAGAAGATTGAGTTTCACACTCTTCTCTTCTGATGGAACTCATGTCCTTCTGCTAATAGGTGGTTTGCAAATGTGGAATTGGTCTTTCTATTTATAAAACTGCTTCTATGCTCTTTAATTCTTTGGAAAAATGGTCTTCCAGTTTGGCCAATAATCTAACTAAATTTATTAAAAACAATAAAGACAAAAACTTCGTTGTTGGATAGATCAGGAGTATATAAGCTGACTTGTGGCTCTTGTCCAAAATTGTATATTGTCCAAACTGGAAAAACATTTTCCCAAAGAATTAAAGAGCACATAAGTAGTTTTATAAGTAGAAAGACCAATTCCACATTTGCAAACCACCTTTTAGCAGAAGGACATGAGTTCAATCAGGAATACGATGTGTTACATTTAGAAGAGAAGAGTTTGAAACTCAATCTTCTAGAATGTTTTTCTAGTGAAAATCACACAATAAAGTGTTTTTAGAATACGTCAAATATTTGAAGTAGGTGCCAAGAAAGAGAGGGCTCCATGCAACTGGTTAGTAACAGCAAGCGAGATAAGCATAAGTGGACACGTGTATAGCTTACCCTCGAGGTCGCTGGCTGCGGAGACATTGAGCCAATATCTGAACCCATGGCACCCCAAAGTTTCGGGCTATCACTCGCACCTGCACGCAACAATGACATAATTGTACACCATTGCACTCCCTGCAGGATCACCATCGATGCTTTGCACTTCTAATGATTTTGAAAAAAAACTTACAATCTGGAAGTGGCTTTATTGAACATTTGCCGTTAAATGTAATTGAACGAATTTTTTTTTGGTTGGAGTATACCGTTCTGTTTCTAATAAACCAAAATTCAAAATGACGTTACAATATTTGGCTCACTAGTTGGACAAATCTGATTGGTTTCATATTTTATGCATCAGCTGTTTGATGCCTGTTATTAATGCCTATCATGCCTTTATATTACATGGGATTCTAAGCTACTGTTCTATACAGTCGTCTCATAGAACACATCAGATTATTCTATGCGATTCACTGGAAATGAATTTACCCTCTCTAGAATCCTTTGAAAGGAAATACAGGATCACAATAATGTGTAATCGAGGTAGGTCAGAGAGTTTTATACCATAAAGAGTTGTAAATTGGATATTTGATGCAAATTTCAAGAGATTTACTTCAGATAAAATGAGACCACTATTTCCAAGTAGTAAGTAACTGAAGTAAAGACAATCCTGTTCAATGGAAAACTTACATAAAACAAGGTACAAAAGTCTTTGTTTGAATATATGTTCCAAAAATGTTCGGAAGGTTGGATTTTCATTCAAAATATGAAAACCAATATATTCCCCAATGAAAATACAGTGTCACCTTAACCTTGATATTTTTTCAACAATTCAAGTTAATAATTAGGCCACTATATATTGAAAGCATGTGAATAACTGATTTTCAATCACAAATTCATTATTAACAGTAATTTTGAATAAATGAAAATAATCCTTAAAAAAATATTTCAATAATTGTGAAAAATATAAACTCATTTTTGGATTATGAAAATTTTGGTTGTTTATGACTATTCTGAGAGATTTTTCAAGAGTTTCCCATTTCCAGTAGACTTGTGCGAAAGCAGCGACAGTGATACCTGCCCCTTGATACGTTTAGTAAAACACAAAACACACAACATCGGTAACATTAGAGAGATGGGAGACTTTATAATAATTGTTATTAGGTAAAACATAATATCCCAAAATATACATCCCATATTTCCATTCCTAAAGAATCAATATCTGTACAATACTTATTGGCAAGGAATGGTTCTTAATTATACTCAATGAACCTGAATATTTCAAAGAAAAATTTAAAAATACCATTCATAAAATGATAAAAAAAACAAAGTACATATAGCCAATACAAAAGTAAAAAACATTTCAAATTCACGACAAAACATCGTGATATCAAACATTTTTGGTTGTTAGGAAAAAATGGTATTATGAAAAATATTTACAAAATTAGACGAGTGCATGTTTCATTGATGATTTAGAATAATAATTATGGTGAGAAAATGGAAATGTAAGCCTATAATTATGAATCTATTCACTCAATATGAGATAGAAGACTGTCGATAAATTAATGTACATGAGAAATAAAAATCAGTGGACCAATGAAAGAAAAACAGAACTGAAATTTAAAATTTGAATGAATAACTGATTCAAAAAAATAATTCAACTTATTGTTTCAATTCGGTTTAATATGTAAACATTTCTAAGGATTCTTCTCTATTTGACTACAGTGCATCAGACAATAGTTTCAATTTTCTTATCTTATAAAAACTCCTGACATCCTTATCTCAGAGTCACTATAAGAGGCGTTAAATTGTTTATACAATTTGCCGATACTGATTGAGATGTTTACACTTTTTGTTTTTAGATAAATGGATTTCGATTTTATTTGAAATTGGAAAAAATCATTGAAAAAATTTGTTAAAATGCAGGATCTTAAAACTGATTTACTGATTTACATGAGGTATTCCGTGTATGAAAAAAATCTTAAAATGTGAAAAAAAGTTATTTATTCTAGTTATCAACAAATAAATGTGATTATTCCTTATCTGTGAGAATTTGAACTTGTTAGTAAAGCTGAATTAGTACAAGTAAGCAATTATATAGTGCATATTGGGCAGAGGTGTGTAAAGACTATACAAAGGCACATGAATAATTACACAGTGTTAGTTTCTTACTCGAAAGACACTATTCATTACCAACCAAAAATGTTTGAAAAATGGCTTGCTAAAAACCCATACATATTGAACATATCATTATCAGACAGCCACAATATCCTGACAAACAATATTATAAAGCTACTGTCATAGAAACTCAATTTATAATAGGCAACTGAAAACCAGTTGCTAATTTTAATGTATGAAATTAAGAATGTATAGTTATTTAGGTTTTATAGACAATGTTATGCCATTTTCATTTAATATCTGTCAAAAAAATTATTTAAATATTTTTTTCCGTTCACCAGCTGTGGCCTCCTACAAAGACAAACCTTGTGTGTGCTAAGAATTTACAAGGTCTTATCTTTCAATGTGCGATAATTCTAGTCTTATAACTGTTTTATTTCTATTACTAAAAATTGATCAAAATTTCCACTACAGTTCATGAGCTTTCAGGTTAGTTGTGAAAAAAATGTTTATTATTTCAAATAACTGGAATTGTATTTTCTGGTCAAATTTAAATTATTTGTTTTGAATGTTTTTCATTTAGATTTTTTGAACGATCACCTGGACTTGAATTTTTGTCATCAAGAGAATTTTGAAAAAAAAACATGCAAAATAAAAATGAAAATATTTTATTGATACATTACAAATCAATAAATTGTGAAAATCATGTTTACTTGTTAACAACTTAAATAAAAGTAAAACAACATTGTAAACACAACAAAGTAAATAACTTAGAAAAATTCTTAATTGAAAATGTTTAAAATCACAAGCTGCATTATTTACAAATATATTTGCCACCGTTTCAAATAATCTTAGGTAAAACAGGACCTACATCAAAATAACACACTTTTGCCTTTATATGAATATCAATATTTCTTTCGTGATAATAATGTGAAAAATAATTGAATAACAAACATAAAGATCTTTTTAAAAATGATTTTAAATATCACAGACAAAATAAAATATTTTTTATAATTCATTAACATATCAGTGAGATATGTTCAGGTACAAGAAACTTTTAAAGCAGGAAAAAATCTTGCGAAAAGGTCTCTAAATGTCAAAGTACTATTACAACTGGTTATTAAAAAACTTTCCAACAAAAATAAAATAAAATATTGTCAACCTAAATATACTAATTGATGTATCATACAAAATCAACTCCTAATTGACAATCAATACCGATTTGTCGTCATTGGTTGGAATCCATGGTAGGGAAAATATTGTTTGCCATACGATGTCGTCACTGCTTAAAAATCAAATTCTTTACAAGGAGATTCTCAACTCACCACTCAATTCGAAACTAATTCCTAAGCTCTCGAGATCATTGACTTGCTGCTGAGTAATCATTTGTGAAGGGGGGCGCCCTGTAGAAGGCTGCGACTGTGCCGTCCTGGCTCCAACGACAGCACGCAACTCCTGCCGAACGAATTCCGATGTGGGGCCAGTTCCAGACACACCTAACACAAACCAAGCTCACAACATTGCTCATCACAAGCTAGCAGTTCTCTAAGTACAGTTTTCGATAGTGTTACATAGAGAAACAGTTTTTGGTGGAAAAAATCTGATATAATTAATGTTTCATTTTAAAATGGCATGCATGATTTGCAGTAAATCTCCGAAGGATTATACAAGTGGTGGAATCAAATAATTTATTGCGAGATTTTCCCAAAAATGGTATACAAAATCACAATGTGTTTTACTACTTCTTCTTTCAATAATCTGAAAAAATCCCACAATAAAGTTTTTGCAATATTTTCAAATGTTTGCAATATGTTCAAATGTTGGCAATATGTTTAAATAATTGCAATGTTTATCATGTGTATTCATCACATCAAGTTTATAAAAAGTTTCAACTTCTGTTAACCAACACAGGAATCAAGATGAATTTTGGTACAAGATTTCAATCTCCGAGACAGCATTCAACTTTAGAGAAAAAATGTTTTTATTTTCTAACCATACATTGGGTTAGAAAAACTTTTTCAAATTTTCAAAATCCAAAAAATTGAGTGAACTGTTTTATAAATATTCGATTGAAAAACCCAAATACAGCTTGTTCAAAATATTTACTGTTTCAACTTTCTTTTATTTTACCACATATTTTTCCCGAATTTGATTGTTATACAGCTGCATATAACTATATATAACCAAAAAGTCTTGAAAAAAGGAATCAATATTCAAAAACACATTTCAATATTCAATTTTTGAATGTTTGTATTGCTTGATAGAAAAAGATAAACTCCATATGGTTACTAAATCTTATGAGTTTGTCTTAAACTCTCAATATGATTTTTACATAACTTTTCATCTATCTATGATCCCTAAAGTTTTATACCTAATAATACTGTTTTATTAATATCAACATATATTTTCATAATTTAAAGTTAATTTGTTGAAGAATACAATGCAATTGTATTTCAACACATTGTATTTGGCCTTTGTTTTTCAAGTAATTGCCTTGCAGTGAAAGCTACAATGGAAGACAGGGAACCAATCTCGAGAATTTAATTTTACGTTGATCCCTTAGATGGCGTCTTCGTAAGGGCAGATGTCATGGCCTTTATTTACTCCTGCTTACAAGACTCTGAATATTCTTTTAGTTGTGCCTTTTTTATTATTGGTTCCACTAACAATTCATTACAATATATTACTAGGAAAATATTTCCGATACTTTTTTATTTGGGAAATGTGTAAATTATTTTTCCTGGTCATATAAAAAAAATCATATAAAACTGCAAATGTCAAAAAAATCATCACTTTTTCAGTGATCACTTTTTTATTGGCTACAGACGAAGTAAGTGGCTTGTGCAGTAACTTCTTGTAACTAAGGAATAAAATAGTTTTGATTGAACACATCTGATTTCTTTTTGCAACCTCAAGATATTCATTTGAAGAGAAGTTTCACAGTTTACGTAAAAAACAGACACATGTAACATTTAATAAAATATTCAGATGATTTTCAATTTCCAAAATAAATTTTTTGTTCTTTCTTTACCTCAGCTCAAATAACACACATACTGAATATCAGAGAACCATAGTTTTATAAAAAAAAGTAATGTATCAGATAGTCATGCTTATTACTGCAGTTCTCCCAGCAAGTATACAAACTACGAATGCAAATCATGCACATCCCATTTGAATGAAACACTAGTTATAAAAAACGGATGCTTCAGCCGAACAACAAACAATGATCCTTAAAATAATAACAGTCAAAGCACAAAAAACACATCTAAACTAAAAACAGCAAAAAAAACAAAATATAAGCACACAATCAAAAGCAACATAAAATCAGCAAGGATAACATATATCTGATGATTTTAACCCATGGCGATACACTTGGGAAGATGGAACAAACTTGTAGGAACACAAAGGAGAGGAAGTGAAGAGGTTTTCCCTGGTGATTTTAGCACAGCTATGAGGCGAGCACATGTAATGTAATAGATATTATGAATGTTGTTAGACACAGGGTAATGTGCCAATGAGTGCTTGGTGATGATGGTCACAATCCTAAATCCTCAGAATTACAAAAACGCTATGTGACCTTCTCAATTGTTTATGAAAAATTTTAGGCAAGACAGTATTCTCGATTCAGTTTGATAAACTTATGTCACGACCAACTTATACGGCAGTAAGTAACAACATTTAAAATTGATCAAGTATTAGAACATTTTCTGATACTGAATTTAATTATTCTGATTCTAATCTTCCGAGCATTCCGTTTGCTATTATATCTGCATCATGTACAATTAAAAGGCAGGTCAGATGCACAATGTTTGTGAAATATTATTACATTTTATTAATAGTAATAACGATTTTTTTAATGAAAAACAGACTGTTTATTGCTATAAATAATCTAAAAGATTCATCGTTTTGTTATTTCATAAAAAAAAAATTGAAAACTATTTCAGAAGTCCTCCCATAAACATTAAGTGGTTAATGATCAATTCTTGGAATTTTATGAAAATAAGTTCAACAATGTTGAGTTGGTCGTTCAATAGGGACTTTGTTTTCGTTAATTAATTTCTAGGGATTTCAGAATGTTCAATTTTTGTCAATTACTCTTTTTGTGTGATATATCATAGTTCATGTTGAAATCGTGGTTGTCCTCTAAAAGGTGGCAGGCATAGGTGGAATTGGTCTTTTCTACTTCAATATTAGTTTTGTAACTACAGTTGTAGAATAGTCAATGTATCAGTTCAACTCAAGAAACTGCTGTGAAGCGAAACGAGTCTTAATTAAAGTTTTAAGTGTAATTTTATTTTTGACTTGATCAACATGACCGACTATGCTGGTTAATTTTTCCCAAATTAACAATATATGTACCTGATTCAGTATTCGGTCCTACTATTAGACAGGTTATTAAAAAATGTATTCAAAGCATACAGAATCCATGTATCCGATTATTGTATTATATAACTCGAAGAAATGCTACAACTTCAGCACAATTTAAACCATCTTTCTAATAGAAATTAGCAGAAGATTACAGGCAACTTGAAAATACAAAATAATATCTGTTTCAAAAAGAAAATGTCCACTAACTGACACCATTCTAATCCTCAGGGTTCTATATTAGGTCCACTCTTATATATAATATATGTAAATGATTTTTATAGTGATCAGTTCGTTATGTATGATGATGACACATCTTTATTGATAACTCAGGAAAATATTAAAGCCACAGTTAATAAAGTATCTGATGAAATAAAAATAACCCAAAAGTGGTTGTCAGACAATGGTCTCTTGTTGAATGAAAGAAAAACTGTGCTTTTACGTTTTAATCATTCAAGAACCACTCCACATCACAGTTTACTTGTAACACCAATTAATGGATCAATTCAACAAGAGGAGACAAAATTTTTGGGTTTGAATATAACAGAAAATCTCAAATGGAACAAGCATATTGATACGATTTGTAAAAAGATATCCCCAATATCTTATTGTATTCAACAACTACCCTGGAATGTAAATAGATCACTCTTATTAATGTGCTACCATGCATACTTTCATTGTAATATTTCCTATGGTATTATAGCTTGGGGAGCATCTAGTGATTGCTCCAGAATACTCAAAATTGAAAAAAGAACCATAAGGTATATAGCAGGAGTTACTAGAAGGACAAGTTGTGAACTCATCTTACAAAATCTCAGAATATTGGCTGTTACAAGTATATACATTTATGAGATATTAAAATATGTAAAATCGCACATAACCAGTTTTCCTATTTGATACGATTTGTAAAAAGATATCCCCAATATCTTATTGTATTCAACAACTACCCTGGAATGTAAATAGATCACTCTTATTAATGTGCTACCATACATACTTTCATTGTAACATTTCCTATGGTATTATAGCTTGGGGAGCATCTAGTGATTGCTCCAGAACACTCAAAATTGAAAAAAAAACCATAAGGTATATAGTAGGAGTTACTAGAAGGACAAGTTGTGCACTCATCTTACAAAATCTCAGAATATTGGCTGTTACAAGTATATACATTTATGAGATATTAAAATATGTAAAATCGCACATAACCAGTTTTCCTACTCTTAATGATAATAAGAATTATAATACTAGAAATTCCCTACAGTTGGAATTGCCAACACACAGATCAGTTGTATTTGAATCATGTCCAAGGCTTATGACCATTAAATTGTACAATAAATTTCCAAGTACAATAAAAAATCTGGCTGTAAAACAGTGTAACTATCAAATCAAAGAGTTTCTCCTGGATACATCATATTATTCGCCCAAATAATATATGGATGATAACTTATGACCCTGTACATGTGTAACATTTTAGGAAGATTTTAATAACGATGCTGTTACATAAATATCACATTATTTTTGGTTTTGACTATCAGTATGTACATGTCTAACATTTTAGTCCGATTTTAATAACGATGCTGTTGCATGAATATCAGATTATTTTAGGTTTTGACTATTATCTATGTAAATTGTATATTGTGCCTCTAAGTGCACGGAGTTTGTATTTTTAATTTTGTATTTGTAAACTTTTTGACATACTCAATGTCATCTATAGATGATCAAATTGAATAAAGATTATTATTATTATAATGTTATATCTTCTATTTCTAGTTCTCGTTCATCCGTCCAATCTGTATAATTTTTTTCTTATTCTGATTATTCCATCGATGATTAGTTTTTGATCACTCCATGCAAATATTTCGACTCGGGCGTAATAGTTATTCATTTTTTTCCCATCAATATCGATTATTTTCCAAATGTAATCAGTGTTACTTTTTCCTATTTCTGTCTGTTTTTGTTTATGAATTTTTTTCTTCTTTGGATGAGCGCTACTTTACCCATACGAGAGATGAAAACTATGTCTTTTTCAACAACTGCGTCAATACTATGACGATTCTTCATACTATTATTACTGCAATAAAATCATTCATTATTATCATCATTTTCACTTATTCAAAATATCAAGTTAGCAAAACATTGAGAAGGTATCACATACAAAATCGAATAAAAACAGATTCTGAAGATTTACGGTGGATGTATTGATAGTGCCCCTAGCTTGCCAACGGACGACAACTTACCAGGCTGAAGATGAGGGGCAGCTCTGCCCCTGTCTGCGCCATTGTAGGCTAACGATAAACCCGTCTGATCATAACAGTACTGGGAGTCTTGTTGGTACATCATTTGGGGTACGGTATGATGGGGTTGGATAGAGGAATAAGGGTGGGGATGGTGTTCCCTGCCTGTGTACGACCGGGGAGAGCCCAGCCCACCTGTAACACACGCCACCCTCTCAATTCATGATGATTCTCCTACAGGGTGGATCATAAAATAGTCATGTTCCTCTCGATAACATCATTGAAGCCAAATTATCATTATTTGGTGCTGAATGGTGTTGAATAACAGCAAACTTGGCCCGCAGGCTTTGTTATTCTTTATGGAATTTACAAGAGTTGTCCATTTCCTAACAATAGTTGTATGATGTATTTCAAATAATGTCTAGCTATTTTATTGGTTAATACATTCAATTTTATCCTAATCAATTGAACTACTGAACTATAGATTTAAATTCCATATGGTAATATTACCATTGAGATATCTGAGTATAATATTTTTGAATGAAATGAAAAAAAAATGTTAACGTTGCTCCTTGTTTACATAGTGACACATAACTATTCAGACTTCAAAACCTTTCAGAACAAGAGAATCTGAACACTGAGATGACTTCATCTCAGACTACATTTCGGCCACTTTTCATCTGCAGTCACATTGACGAGAATTAAGTCGGCTTTTGTTTTATGACCTAATGCCCAACCAAACATCACTTAAAAAAAGTCAAGACATTTTTAAATTTTTTCCAGTTGTCTTCTAGTTACATTTTGTTGAAAAAAATTTGTATATGGACTTCAACATATTCATAGGATATCTAATTTTCTTTAAAAAATCCTAAATGTGAATTGAAGGTAAAACATTAAAAAGAGAAATTTCAGTATACAATTTTATTAAAAGTATAACACATAAAAATAGCTTCGGCTTATCAATCCCCAATTTCAAAAGGCTATTGAAAAATGAGAAAGATTAAAGTAACTGTGTATAATATCATTATTTTAGAAATGTAAAAGTTTCTCAAAACTATCTATCTTAAGAAAATATAAAAATTAATGACATTTTACCTTTTTTTATAAGAACAGAAATCCCCTCGGATTTGAAAATAATGATTTTGTAGGCCTTGTTGTAGGGACCAATCCGTTTTCATTGTGATTTTTTTCTAAATAGTCTATTATGATAGATGAACGAAGTGAAACTACTCAAATTTGAGAGGAACATTTCCAACATCTCCTGATTTTTGTTAAGGCCAGCGAAAATTCTCACACAATTTAAAAAAAATCAATACTCTAAAAGACTCACCCAAAGTTATATTTCTCAATCAAACGTCTACAAATGGATATTTAATTGAGGAAAATAACTACCTGGCAATTCTACCGTGCATTGTAACCATTGCAAGTTCTAATTTATAATATTCCTACAAATGCATGGATAACTAACTCAAACCATGCTAACATGTCTGGTAAAGAGTAATAGATTTTTTCTATTAGTAACTCTTCAGATTGATTCATCCATAGCGATTTAGTTACTAATATAAAAAGAAAAGGGTAGTATGAAAATTGCAGAATTCAGTAAATTCAATTAACATATATTGTCAATAAATTATGAAAGGAATTATCTACAATACATTAAATCAATTGAAAAGCAATACTTGGTAAAGAAGGTCTAATTGTGTGAATAGATAATTTTGTAACCTAATTCTGCATAGTTCTGTATTAGTAGTTTAAGAGATAAGGAAATGCTTCTAAATCATAAAAAAAAAACTTAGAAAGAACTGAAACCTGCAGTGAAATATATTTTCGAATTATGAACACATAACAAATCTCTAAGACTACTCGCCAAAAACTCGAAAAAAGTAAAAGGCCTTTTCATAAGGGCTTACTCACATGAAAGCATAAATAAACTGCCACCCGGAGGTCTTATTTTTTTTACATGTACACCAAGCACTATCAAGGGTAAGGAATAAAAGTCCATCAGGGGCATTGATTATCCATTCTTCAAGAGAAAAAAAATTCCTAGGCCTTCCAGACATAAAATATCAACAAGAAAACTCTAAAGAAATATAATCATCAGCCGATCCTTTCAAATACAACGAGGAACGACTCTATCTGAAATATATTCCTTTCACACTTGTTTCTCTACTGAGCAGATTTCGAAAAGATGTAATCGAAATTAGATGATGAAAAAACAATTTTTATTCATTGTCGTTTAAATATGGTATGACGAAAACTTTAAAAATAGAACTACTGAATGATGCAATTCTTACACAACCCAAGAAGTAGTTATTTTTATACTTCTAGAACGAAATCAAAGAGTTCTTAAGTCTCAACAAACGATATCAGTTCTAGATTCTAGTGAATACGAAAGATTTCTAGAATGTCTCAACTATATGTGAAGTATCATTCAATGTAAAAACTGTCCTACTGATATTTCAATGAACGATATGCATACCTGGCAGTTGTGTAGTGGCAGTAGGCACGCTATTAGCGCGCTGAAGTCTCAGGTACTGACTATTGAAGGCAGAATTCGGAGAACTGGGCGGAGGGAACTGGTCGCTAGGATAAGGCGAGTGTCTTGTTGGTACAGATCCGGGACTGTTGAGGGATCGTTGCTGTTGCTGTGGTGGCCTCTGAAAATGTTTTATCATTCTTAGAATCATTTGTTAGAATTCAGATAAAAAAAATATACTATACATTTGATTGCTTATTCAAGAGGCTTCAAAATATTAAGCTAGATTTAGATGGATTTAAAAACTAAATCATTTTGAGTAACACAATGATGAATGCATTAGGCATGTCTGAATTTTTTTCTTGGAGTGACATTGGATAATAATTTTTTACTGTGGATTTGTAAATATTGTTTCAAATTAATCCATCGACTTCAACTTAGGGGTTAGGGTATATTTCTACTCATAAAACATATGTTTAGTAATGCTATATTTTGTATAAGAATGCTGCAAATACTCTAATCGAAGCCCCACTTTACATTATTTGATTTAGAAATCTCTGGCCTGCCTGGCCAGTATTTACGAGACAAATTTATTGAGATCATCTAGAGCAGGGGTCTCCAAACTACGGCCCGCGGGCCAAATCCGGCCCGCCAGTGTCGTCAATCCGGCCCGCGACAGCCAATGATTTACTGTCATCAATCTGGCCCGCGACAGCCAATGATTACCTAATTGTTGTTACTATTGCTGTGATAAGTTGAAGAAGAAAACACAGAATGATAATTACTCGGTTTTATTTACTTGCAAGGTAAAACTTAACGACAGAAATGATGACAAAGAAAACTCAACTTAAGTATCTAAGTTTAAGCAAGGGCAGAAACTGGCCCTTGGAACAAACTGAAAAAATCATCATGGCCCGAAGGCTTCAAAGTTTGGAGACCCCTGATCTAGAGTATTGAAACTTCTGAGCCCAGAAGATGACAAATGATACAGCAGGGGCATACCACTCCTGTAATCAGAATAAATATTATGGTTGAACCAGCAAAAAACTGTGTAATTTGGAAAATGAAACAAAACTTTTCAAACTTCAACTTATGAAAAATGCAACAATATTGATAAATCAACTTTGTTCACTTTTTGATGTCAGAGCCTTTTGAGAGCCTAATTTATCATTGATATTCATGGTTTAAGACTTCCATAAATCCCATAAATGGTATTTTGCTTACAGGGGATGTCCATGCTATTGCTAACTGTCCATTTCCTTCCATTCAAAAAATTCAATTCGATGTTATCAAAAAAGTTGAAATTTGGTGCAATTTATTCAAACTTAGAAGGTTCCAAAGAGGGTCGAGAAACTCTAATTGCAACTGAGAGATATGCCATCATAAAAATGTTACATAGAGAAATTTACTTACGGTGAGCTGTGCACTGAGCATTGGATTCTGTTGAACGCTCAATCTAGCTTGGGTCTGCTGCCAATTGGCGGTCTGGTTGCTTCCTTGTGGGTACGTCTGCCTGGGAGACAGCTGAGAAGTGAACTGAGACTGGGGAGACAGTCTAGCACTCTGATTCTGAAAACTCCCAACTGTGCTCTGTGGGAAATTCTGCTGGCTCAAAGGTGAAGTCGTCAACTGTGAGTGAGGCGAGTAGGGTTGTTGACTTCCCACCCGCGGAGTTTGCTGATTCAACTGTCCCCCGAAGCTTGGAGACAACTGGGGCTCGGAAACGCTAGAAGATCGCTGCAAAGAAACATTCGGGGCGACTGTGTTGTTCAAAAGACTGTCAATGTTCTGCATGGTATTGATCTCGTTCGCTGCAGCGTTGGACGGAATCAACAGCTGTTGCTGTTTCTGCTGATGCAATAATCGGCGCTTTTGTTCTTGTTGTTGCTGCTGCTGCTGAAGCAGCTGCTGTTTTCTCAACAACATCTGGTTGTTGATGTGTCCGGCGAACTGCTGCTGCTGTACTGTTCCTGATCGCATCTGTGCACGTTGAAACTTGGCCTGAGGATAGTTTGGTGGAGGGGGAAACGCCAGAGACGAATTATTTTGATTTGGTAACTGGAAATTAAATTTGTCTTGTAATAATAATTATGAACAATATATTTATTAGAGGAATTGTATTTCTGACACAGAGCAAATTCTTTTTAAGCAGTAGCATGAGAAAAACTGATCAATACTGGGCATGTTAATCAGCCAGAGCCCCATTATTGATCTCACAAAAATTCTCATTGGATGAGAAAACACTATGAACGATCAAATTGGTTCATAATTTCTTGACCAAAATTTAAAAAAAGGATTGTGTCTATTTTTCATTCTGATTATTACTGTTCAATCCGATACTTGACAAAAATCCATCATAAGGAATGTAAATAACTCTTTATTGTGAGATATTCCCTTCAGCTTCTTCAGGTGAGTTCGTCACTATCAGTGTGTTCATACTGATGGAGGAATATGCCTGAGGAAGCTATTGTAAAGTGAAACACATATTGTAGGTTTTTCAACTGCTCAGTGTTCTCACAACCAATTGTTACTTGAATGAAATTATATTATTTTCTATTTCTGTTTAAGAAAGTTTCTCCATCGTGTGTCAAACTGTTTCATCTTGAGACAAGCATTTTGTATTTGAATTATGCTTCGTCTTCTTTTTGAATACTAGCGGAATGGTGGTACAACTTTACAGAAAAGTTAGGTAACTGTTGCTACACAAGAGAGGAATGTCATACTGATGAATATTCAACATCATCTCGTAATGGTACAGGTATCTTTTTCTCAAACTACATGTCAGAAAAACATTCAGAACATTATCCTTATTTGATGCTATTCAATAAAAAAATTGATTTTAAAAAATTGCGGTTCTATTTGTTCAAAATGTGATTGAAATATTCAATTACAACTAATTTGAAATAAGGTTCAATTCATTGCTATCATTTTGAATTATCTACAACCATCATACTTTAGATTGTATAATTTTGCAGAAATCTGACCGAAACAGATTCATTTGAAAATTAACAGAGATTGATTTCTGATGAAGAGTGAAAAAAAACATTAATAAATAATCTGCACTTCAGAGAGTAAGATATCGATAATTAGGATCAAGATTTGCAAAGCAGTAGTCAGTAGCTCTTCCAGAAAATGTGACTGATAAAAGTAACAATGTTCTCTCGAGAATGAAAATTTAATAAAATCTCAGATGATTGTGTATTACAATAGAAATCATGTAAATATTAATTCTGTGAACGATGATTGTATGTTGCAAATATTTTAAATCCTTTTAAATAACAAGAAAAAGAACTTCTGAACACCAAGATACAAAATATTAAAATCTCATATCAAACTATGCAAATCTCAATAATTTACGAATTGGACATACTTTGACTTTTGATTTGATGTATTTTGTTTTCTATTTGTTATGTTCACTTTACCTAGAAATTTCATAATTCTGTTGGCAAAAATCTGATACAAATTCTATACAAAGATATACTCACGTTTGCCGCTGAATACGCAGGTGGAGTTGCAGGCATTGAAATGGGCGACAAAGGGCTTTTCACGGCACTCTCGCATAGCATCAAGGACTTCTGAATATTATTGATGGCAACTGCTTCATTCATAGGATGATAATTCAGAGGAGGCTGATTTCCCGCACCATCCAATAAATGCATAATATCTTCTGGTACAAAATCAATGACTTGATCCAAAAGTTCGGATAGCAATGGATCGGCGGAGGTGTGTACATTGTTGTTATCCCAGCCCAAGTTGTTGTTCTCGGTACTAGAACTGGCAGAAGTATAGCAACTGGAGTTGATTTGGTTCATTTGTCGCATCTCGGTTCGTTGAATGCTGTTTGCCGAGGAGAGAACAGAGCTGAGGTAGTTTGTATGAGTGGGACGACCAGGTAATCTAGGCGAAAGAAATAATTTGAAATATATTTCACTTGATAGAATATGATTGGTACTTACCTATTTACAGTCGCTCTTGAGTTTGTAGCATTAGGCTGGTTCATTATCATTTGTATCGACTTGTTGGGGTCTGTTACTCTAGGAAGTTTTTCATGTGGGGTTGCTGTCAGTATACTTTCAGGTATCGGCGGAATCGGCTGATGATTCGATGGCTTCTTGGCCAACAAAGAAGCCAACATCTTATTACGTTCCCGGAGGGATGATGTAACCTTCAAAAATTTCAATTAGAAGATTATAATTTCAGTGTGTTGATATGAACATTTTCATTTATAGTGGACTGTATTAAAGGTTACAGAAATTAGAAACCTGTACAAAAAGTACCACAGTCAATTTTTTCAATGTTCAAATTTTTTACTTTCCTTCTTCAAAAATAAAATTCACATTGCAACTGTTGCATCAATATTGTTTGTAAATTGGGAGTTTATTGGAAACTAGATAACGACCATATTAAAAAAGTTCAATAATTTACAATTCAACAAAGTTGACTACAGAATGAGAAAACAAGATTTGAAATACGAATCTGGTAGGGAACAACAGATAAAAACTAAAAAAAACAAAAACAGGAACAATATGAATAATACAAACACATTGATATTGTGTATGAGCTATAAAAAACTCAATCAGAAAAAAGCTCCTAAACAGCTCCATACTATGGGTGGATATGAGATTCAGAATTGAGAACAACTCTTCTTATGCAAACGAAAAATATCAACGACAATCTGTACAGTCTCATAGTGAATCACGTTAGTAAGAAAGTGGGGGAGGTGAAATGTAGCAATACTGATAAATGCAAGTTTATATGCACTGACAAACATGGACAATCAATTCGAAAGCATAAAACTTAATACAGAAACATGATTTGGTTGAACTCCATCCCATTTGAGACTTTCTTTAGAATTTGCATCTTCAGACTCTCTAATGCTGTGATATGTACACTGTAACCAGGATGGCACAGAATACATCCAAATGCAAACTTTGATCCAACAACTTATGATACCAATTATTCAAATATAGATAGATAACTTAGTCATAACAAGTCCCGAAAGTTATGTTTACCGGTGCAGAGAAGTTTCCAGAATGAGATGAAGATTTACTTGAGAGCTTTAATATTTTACTAAAAACGTAACTTTGAACTTCAACTACAAATGATTTGCGATTTATATACATCCTAGTACAGTTATTCATATTAAGAGCACAAAATATCACATTGGCGTTCCAGCATGAAAAAGCACATTGACGCTCCAGCATAAATTGAAATTTCTTGCTCTATGCCATATAATAGGAAATGGAGACACAGAACACAAAACATTTCTTTATATTACGTAAAAACAGTGTTACCTGTTGTCCATCTGAAGTTCTTTTGTTAGGGCCGTCATCTCTGTCGTCATTGGGCCTTTTTCTGCTTCCATCACCATTAGGCGAAGACGGAAAACCGAGGCTTCTCATCAGCGAATCGTCGTGACAGCGAAGATCGGCCTTTTTGTCTTCCTCGCTGTCCCTTTCAGGTTTCAAGAGCTGCTGAAGCAATTCGCTCTTCTTTTTCACTCCTGCCCTGGATTCAACATCATCGTCTTCATCGTTTTTATCGTTGAGAAGCTATAAAAAAAATAGAAAGGGATTTATTTGAAATAGATATCCTAATATACATAAATATTATACAAATATATCAGTTATTAAACAGAATTACAAAGACCCTATATAATAGAATATATTGGGTAAAACATAGCAGTAGTAGATGATGAAGAGATTAATATATCATACTATAATGATCAACTTTAATTCACTTGGTTCATTATTTTTAAGGAGTAAAGCAGTAACATAACGTTTGGGATTCTCAAGAACTTGAAGAGGACAGAAAAAGAATAATAAATGGTCTTAATATGTGAACAATGGGGCTAATGGCATTATCTGATTAGCTTTTCTTCAGGAGAGTTTTGGGACACCCTGAACAGTAGAAGGCCAGCCTAATTTTTTTTTACTTTTTCGTAGAACAATCTTTTTTGGGGTTTCAACACACCATTAAACATTGATAGGTAATTTGTGGTAGAAAACAAGCAACCCAGTAGTAATATACATTTCACTCAGTATTCCTCGAAATAAATCCATGATGGTTGGCGTATTTTGAACAATAAGATAGTACTAATGGATTTTGAATGTTTCTTCCTAAACTGCGTCAATCAATAAGTTACTGTTAATGTGAATCCATGTTAAATGTTTCGTGTTTTCTTTGAATTCAGTTTTACTTACAATTCTACATTAAATGAGATCTCAAAAATAAAAAATACTCAATAAAAATAATACTATTACTAACGTTAAAACGAATATTTTTAAGAGTGGATCATTAGGTTTAAAATTGTGAATTATGCCACAAATTATTCATGCAAATAAGAAAAAACTGTTGATTTTCCAGAGGTAAGTAGAGAACTATCAAATCCAGTTCAGTCAAACGATAGTAATCCAAGAAATATTCAATGGCGGAAATATACAGAAGTGAATTTTGTTTAAAAAATTATCCCGAGAAATGAATTCACACCAAAGAATATTCAATTGTGATTTTGAATTAACATATTGATTAGCCATATTGACCTGCTGACACAATATATTATTATTTTATTGATTTGTTCTCTTAAATGGTGTATACCTAACACTGACATTTATTTTGACACATTTACAAAATCATAAAGAGTACACATCATATTTTTATTTTTTCCCTACTCTGACAAAAATTTTCTAGGATAGAACTTTTACTTCGAAGATTTAGTTGAAAATATAATTGTGTTCCTCGCCTGTATTGGACGACAACAAAGCAAATACTAACTTTTACATAAAATTTCTACTTTTTATTGTTGAATACAATTTCTCTTTTGAAAAAATATTATATACCATTCAAATTGTGAATGAAAACACCAATAATTTATCATAACTGAACTTGCGTTACTTTTTCTTCATAAAAAAACAATGTCAATTTCTGTCTGAAGTAGAAGGAAGAAGTAAAATGAAAAGTAAAAGTTTTGTTGATGAACTAGCCATTACCAAAACATAAGGCTTAATATTCGAATCATACTTTCCATTTGACTGCAAATCAATTTGACAACGTCGCTTACTTACCAACTGTGATTTGACATTATGTTTCCAAGAATATAAGTTATGAAAATGACAAACAGTTTTTCCCTCTACTTTTACAGCAATTATGAATTGGACGTATGTATAACTATTTATTGTACTTTTGTTTTTCAAAGCTTCATTTCGTTCTTCGTTGATACCGTATCCACTGTATTTTATAAAACATTTTTTGGGCATCATTGTTCAAATTGAAACATACCCAACTAGGTTTACAAGAGTCTTATTGGGTGAGAGGGTGCCTCTCTCCCTATCTTCTAAACTTCTCGTCACTTCCGTTCCGAAGAATGCTACACCCCCCAACTGTATAACGATGAAAGCTGTGCTACAAAAAGGAACTGAGATTAACTACTCAGTCTTTTCGATATTATTCAGAGTTATCAAAGCATTTCGAAATCACCTGAAATTAATTTTCTGATAATATAAGGTGACATTTAAATATAAATCTAAAACCCATGTTAGAAGTTCCACTGCATGCAAGAATTAAAACAACAATTTTGACTTGCTGAAATTTGGAAGAATCTTTACCAAAACGTAAATCAATTTTCCGAAAGTCCAGTTTTCCTTAACGACTTTCTCACTAAAACTCATCTCACAAACTTTTTCTTTTGTTTCCGCCGTCATCTCGATTCAAAAGTGTAGGACGTAAACTATTTTAAGAAAATATTACCATAGTTAGCACTAGAGAGGCCTGATAAATTCACTAAACCACTCTGATAACTCGAAAAAAATCTGACTGATTCACTATTAGTTACAACGCGGAAAAAATCCCACAAGTTCAAGTTATTACCCAAGTCAGTACAACCGAACGCGTTATCTCCTTGAAGAGGAACTCAGAACTGACATCTGACGGAGTAGTGTAAATAATATCTGATAAAATTTGTATTTGAAAAGGTAAAGGAGGTGGGAGGGATGGCCAAAGCGAAGTGTTGCCACATTTCCAGAAATTTTATTTCCAGCCACTACAGTGGCGGGGTAGCTACCCTTGCAATGGTTCCGAAGAGAGTATTTCAAAATAAATTGAATACATACATAAAGGTGAGACATCATGTTTAAAATTTGTGGTTCATTTAGATTTTTGAAGTTTGTTTCTCTTTTCTAATATTTTGACGAGTATGAGTGTAATAAAAATAAAAAAATACAGAAAAAATGTTCAAATACAAAACACAGAACAACACATAAAAGTTTTTATATGATAGTTGTGGAAATTCGTAGGAAAGTGGTATCTATCGAAAACACTTTATCCTCATCCGAATAAAAATGCTGACTCCCAACGCGCGTTTCCGCTAACCAAGTTAGCACCATCATCAAAAAATAATTGATCTAGTCCATTATGAATATACTAACTCTACCACTTGGATTTCTGAAAATTCTGATTGTTTCGATACTGTTAACATTCGAGTTATAATTTTAGATAATATCTAATAATGATTATTATTGAGGTCAAAACAGAAAATCACACGTTGCTAACAAAAATCCAGTGCGATTGAAAGAATTTCAACAAATGTTTCTATGGACTCACTGAGACGTCGATCATTGTGAAAATACAACACAGCATTCAAAGTGTATTTCCACGAACGAATTGTTTATAAAGTTGACAGTTTTGAATTTAACATATTGGTGAACGAAAGTTAGCACGGCACAGTGGGTGTGATTCTGTCTAGAAATATTTGTTGCCAAAACATTACTATTGGAATGCAGATTATATGTGTACATTATTAATTTTTCATTAATTGATTGATGATGAACATAAATAACGAATGAACGAAATAACGATGCATAATTGTTTTCGAAAATGGAGCCGAATTCACAACAAAAATCAATGTACATCACTAAACTATGTCCATCCATCAAAAAAGCAAGCCAAATAATGATAGATGCGCAATCAAAGCACGATCACCACGCACATTTGCATTTATTGGGTGAAATAAACAAGCCTCCTTACGCTGACCAATCAGATTTAACTGCAATCGGCTGGCGGAGATCATTGTTACAGTGTCAGAGTGGTCAGTTACGACTCATTAATACCGTTTATTGTATGATTTTCACTATAAGAGGTTTTACAAAAACCGCGACACGTGTTTCGCTATACAATAGCTTTCTCAAGTATAAAATAATAAGTTACTTCTAAATTACAACTATTTTATACTCTAACATATTACCTACTTTCTAATGAAGAAGGTACTTATTATTTTACCTCTGGTAGCTCGAGAAAGCTATTGTATAGCGAAACACGTGTCGTGGTTTAGTATTATTGAGTTTCAATATGGATTTTCATCAAGTATCGGCCAGTCTATTTAATTATGGTTAGTTACCTTATAAGGCCTAGGTGTGTCATACGGTATTTTAAAGTTAAAAATTTTTAAAATATCAAGTACTGATACTGAAGAAACTGCCAATATGTGTATCTACACTCCACCTAAAAATATTCTTATACCCAGCCGAATATTTAAAAAAAAATCGGTCGTTCCTTAGTGCGACCCTGTTCAAGCAGCCTTGCCTGGGAGATAATGGAGCACTTTGTTGCTTGGTTGGACAGAGTATACATACAGCTGGTTAACGGAAAAACATATTTCAACATATTATAAAACATAATTCCACCGCCACGTCTGTCTGAATTTGTCTATCATATCGGAATTTGTAATGTAAACGATCCTCACCATTATTTTGGTCATCAATGACCTTTCATTCACATTTTTTAGTAATTTGGTAAACGTTTTTCAGGTCGTCTCTTTCTGCATCAACTCTAGTAGTCTTCGGAATGGATATCATTTAAGGTTATTTCCACTATATATTCTGTGGGTCCTTCAATAAAACGCATATTTAATTACTCAAAAGTTGGAAATTAAAATAATATATTTCAATACCACTGCTCAATTATATTATTATTATTATTACGTTCGCTCGTGTATTATGTCTTTCTAACGTTATCGTACCGAAACATAGTCAGAATAAATTCACCGCGATTGATAAACGAAGTTTCTATGGTATTCTTCGTACTTTCTCGGGCTCACTTGTACAATCGCAGTTTAAGTATGGTTCAAGTTTTGGGCTTGGTTCAAATATTATAAATAAGGTTTGACGGTGAACCTGATTCAATTCACTGCATAAACGGTTATTACTTAACCATCGGTTTTTGATAGTATAGAAATGCTATGTCTGACAAATTATGAAAACTGGAAAAATCACTTTTTCATATAAAATAATTTTATTTCAACACAATCGTTCTATGCAAATTGAAAGAATCTCCTAGCTTCTAGCTGCAAGTGATTTTTTTGATGTTAGTCGTTTTATACAGAATGTTTCAAAAACTATTGCCAGACTATTTAACAGATTTACAAAAACTCCTGACTTATTAGTCAGTGGGCTATGCTTGAAGACTGGCAGAACAAATCTAAAGAAATGAACTTTAAACGTTCAAGCCAGTCTCGATATACCTACACAGTAGGTTGAATGGACTGATGCCTGTCAGAAAA